TGCACTGTGCAGAGTTTCCTTGATTATTTACACTGAGAAAAAGTTTCAATGCGCTTCTTATTTCCTGGATTAAAAATTGAATTTTGAAAAATTAGTTGTGCGCAATTTTAACCCCGTTGTATCAGTAGCGTCAACGTTGGGATCTTTTGAAAATTTATCCAGATGTTCCACCGATGCACTACGTGTACTGTAAATAAAGTATGAAACAGAAAGAAGAACAATTCACAACAAAAAAATGTAAAAACCTCTGAAACTTTGTTTAGAAATTGTTTCAAATTACTACTAATTAAATGCATCTTTCTATTATTTCCTTGCTGTTTACTTTGTTTCGTTTTAGTTATTAATAATATGAGTAAATCATGTCAATAAGATACAAGTGAGTTCCTGTTTCATTTGGAAACAAATTATAGAAAAATGATCTGATGAATTTTGCAAAATAAATGGTTAATAATTTTGGTTTTGCAGGTAAAATAAAAAAAATTGATAGTACACATTGAACCACTAAAAAAATAGCAGTTTTCCACTATGATTTTGTGTCAAACTTTATAGTATAAAGCACGATTTTCACTCTTTTGTGGGAGCAAATCCCTCAATGGTTCTCTTCTTTTAAAAAGTATATATGTAAAGGACTCATTTTCTTCCTTGCCCGAAGAGCCTAATGAATTGAAACTGGTCAGTTTTTCGAGCTTTTGGACCGTCCGAAAATAATTTTTGGCAACGTTCTAAGAGCCTGAAAAAATCACCAATTTTAACTACCTAGTTTCGAGTTGTTTAAGACGAAAAATGATTGTCTTATTTGTTAGGTTTTTATTGGCTGGTCTGGCACTCGGATCGATCGTAGTCTTTCACATCGATTTCAACCGATGGCATCATGAGTTTCAGCAGAGATATTGATGAAAACACACACGAAAGCCGTTTTTTTAAGGTAACTGTTATAGATATAGTTTTTGAGCTACTTACCTACATATTCCAGGTTTAGAAAAGGATTGTTATGAAGCTGATTAATGCAAATCAAAGGGCACTGGCCGAATGTAATCAATTAAACCAAATTTTTCGTCAGAGTTGCACAGATTTAAGTGAATTTATCGAGTGAAAGGTGTAAAGACGATCATTTTCTGTATCTGGAAGTCGAACTGAAACCATTTTTGTAGTATTAAAGTAACTAGGAATAATCGAATGTGAACGTCGAACGCATTCACTTAAGTTTGATTACTTAAAAGCATTTAAATATTGAATGTAGATTAGTTAACCAATTATTTTCATGACTTTGTGCAATATGTTGTGGTTGTTTGGTCGATAGGTAGAGTACCTTCACTTGGTGTACTAGTACGACTCGTTTTTTTTGGCTTTTCAACAAATTATTACTATATTAATGTAGAGAATTGTTACGATGGCTTCTTCCAGGATGTCCAGTCACTTTTGTCAATCGCGACATCCTCAAAGGAATCGACTTTAAAAAAATCAAAATATAAAAAATTGCTTTTACTGTTCACGAGGCTCATTAAAGGAATAGCCTGTTGTACTACTACTACTACTAATAATAAATATAATACTAATTGTAATAAACATCTATTATTTTTAAACTTAGACGTTAAGGATTTTTACCGTTATGAAACCAAGTCAATCAAAGCTGGTCTTATATTGTAAGTTTAAGCACGTTTGAGAGTAGAAGTTTTGCTTCAGCTTACAGCACATCCATGCCAGCAATTTGTTAAGCCAACATTTTTGGCTCACTTTTTGGGCACCATATGAATGCCGCCATTTATCTCTTTTTGTTTCTGTAAAATAAGACTTTACACGGGAAATCAATTTCCAAATAAAACCTGACACAGGTTTTGGGGAAAACCACACAAACAGATGTCTTATGATTTAAATAGTTGTTTAATTGGGATTTTTTCAGCCCTCGGATTATACACAAAAATAATTTTGAGTTAAAGCTGTTACAAAGGATGGTTTGAAATTATTTTACAGAAGCCAATCATTATTTGAAAAAAAAAATGGTGTTAACGTCGTTGGCGCATACGGTACCCATAAACATTCCCTCCAGCAATTGTATTATACTGCAATCTGTCCAAACAAATCAAACTTATAATGTATATAAGAAACAAAATCGTTTTCTTTTTTATGGAACGAGTTAGGTTGTAAGTCATGGGGTGTTTTGAAGCATTTAACTTAACGTATTATTTTACTACTTCAGCAAAATGTACTTAAATTGTAAGAATACTGTATGTTTGATGTTAGCAATAAACCTATGTTCATGATTTGTATACACAATATTAATAAATGTGTTTTGTTCCTATTCAGGTTGCATTTAGTGATGCTTTTTGGTCTCCCAACTCAAGTAAATCACTTCTCTAAAGCAGGCACTTAATCAAAAATCCCTGCCTCAATGTTTGCTACCTGTGTTTATTCATCAAATAAATCAACTCTTTATACACTAAGTCTTTGGCATCGGATCCAACCATGAAATCCATGTGGTTGAAGTGGGTGAAGGGCACCCGAACCTTTCCAACAACTCGCGGCAGTCTGCTTTCAGTAAAGGAAATATCCTAGAAAATGTCTTTCATAATGTTCCTTAATCAATGAAAGTAGCTTTCTTCACTTACCTCTTCAGTGACCAAAGTGTCACCATCCCCATAATGCAAAGAAACCGGATGGTCAACTAAACTCAAATTGTAGGAAGGAAGGGACAGGCCTTGGTACTTCTGCAAGTTCATGAAAGGGTTTTGGTAGTCCAAGGGCCGAAAATCGCCTAAAAACATTCGTTGATATCGAGCTTAGTGTTTCCCTTATTAACTTACCTTCGGCGTACATTTGCATGGCATGTGAGGTCAAGTACACTGAACTTCCAGCTGGAAAATAAGACAGAAATTCTGGTATGTAACTCTGAAAATGTTAAAAATTTCCTATTAGCTCCTCCTGTTCACCTCTTAGTTTAATTATTCAAAAAACTCCTCCTGCAGTTAGTAATTGATGGACTACCGTAACCGAAACAAGGCTCTTGGAATTACTTACGCTGTTAAACTGTTCCCCATCAATCCCCACTAGCGAGTAGATAAAAATCAGACATAGAAACTGCGTGGGGACCCCATTTCCACACAAAGCCCCCAACAGCTTGGAGAAGTAATCCCTTCTAGGGAAAACATTCAAAATATTCCGGGCCACTACACTTTGCTGAAAACCCTCAGTTTGTAGAAAAATCCCCGGTTTTTCACACGTACACTTACGGTTAAAGAAACTGAAGACCCCAGGAAGACCTTATGCGGAAACGAGATCTCATGCAAAACGTAAACCAGAGGCGCCAAAGCCAGGTGAAGTTTGATTTTCGCATTATATTGCGGTCGCATTGAGCCCATAATGAACGCAGCAGTTGAACCTACAGAATGGCCCAGAAAGTACAGCGAATGCTCCTTGGTAATGTTCAGGATATAGTCAATTATAGCAGGAAGATCGTATTGGCCGACTTCGTGCAGTCTGGGAATTTTAAATTTTAATTAATTAAATTGAGAATTTAAGAGCGTCCACTTACGAAAACTTCCAATATTCCGGATCCTTTTCAGAGTCGAATATCTGATGTTTATTTGAGTAAATGTTTCCTCTCATGTTGGAGAGCCACACGTCGTAACCAGCATCAGCTAAAAGGTAAGCTGAAAAACAAACATTTTATATGCAGCAAAAACCGATCTTGTGTTTTGACTGGCTGCTTCTGATTTAAGCTATCCAGATGAATGCAGCTAAAAAGTCCGATGCTCCGGCTTACTAAATTCTCAATGGATACTTAAGTATTGACTTCGTTGAGCAAAAATTTGCTTTAAACATAGTTGCGGCACTTAAGTTTCCAGGAAACTTCATAAAATGGCGCATTTTTCAGTAATTATTTAGGAAAAAGCAATGGAATTCTACCACTCGCCCGGATATTATGAGCTTTTTACTCAATAACACAAGCAAATCTACTCAATAAGGCGACTAGAGGCTATTTTTCTGAACCAAAACTGCATATTTCCTGTGCTTCCTGCTATGCTCAAGACTCATTAATTTGATGATTAATTAAAATGATGTTTGGCATAACAAAATTACACAGAATACTTGCATATTATATACAAAATTACTCGCAATAAAAACTAGAGTTTTGCAGATCAACGGGTTTTCTTCAACACGCGTCATGGAATAAGGGCGATTCGGTAGACTCGCATTTCGAATCTGTCTTGAATTTTTGCAATTTGGGTAAAAACTGGAAACATTTTGAAAATGATCAGTTGATTGAAAAATGTAAATTCCTAAATACGAGCCATCGGGTTTCCTAAATACGAGCCATCGAATAAGAGCGATTCTGAAGACGCATTTATCTTGAATTTTTTCAATTTGCATGAAAAAACGTACACAGTTTAACTCTCTATCTGTCAACAAAAACTAGAGTTCTGCAGCTCAACCGGGTTCCTAAATACGAGCCATTGAATAAGAGCGATTCTGAAGACTAGCAGCTATCTTGAATTTTTAAAATTTTTTATAAAACTAGACAACTTTCTAAAATGGTCAGTGTCATTGAAACGTACACAGTTTAATTCTATATCTCTCAATACAAACTAGAGCTTTGTAGCTAAGTGGGTTTCCTGAATACGAGCCATCGAAAAAGAGCGATTCTGAAGACTAGCAGTTATCTTAAATTTTTGAAATTTACGTTAAAACTAGAAACATTTCTAAAATGGTCAGTGGCATAAAAACATACACAGTTTCATTCTCTATCGCTCAATACAAACTAGAGCTTTGTAGCTGAATGGGTTTCCTGAATACGAGCCATCGAACAAGAGCGATTCTGAAGACTAGCAGTCATTTTGAATGTTTTAAATTTCCGTTAAAACTAGAAAAATTTCGAAAATGGTCAGTGGCATAAAAACGTGCACAGTTTAACTCTCTATCTCGCATTAAAAGCCAGAGCGTTGTAGCTCAGCGGGTTTCCTGAATACGAGCCATCAAATAAGAGCGATTCTGAAGACGCATTTATCTTGAATTTTTGCAATTTGTGTAAAAAAAACAAACATTTCTGAAATAATGTTTGGCACAAAAAAGTACCCAATTTAGCGCTCTATCTTGCGTTGAAAACTAGAGCATTGCAGCTCAACGCGTTCTCTCAATAGAGCCAACAAATACGAGCAGTTCTGAAGACTTACGCAAATCATATTCCGGACCTCGGAACAGAAAAGCATCAGATGAGGCAAGCAGTCCATGTTGGAACAATGCGATTGGTCGCCTTGGCTTATTTGTGGTATTCTCAAACTTGCCCTTTGGTATTCTGTGCAAACTCAGAATATATCCGTCCTCTGAAGACACCTCGTGTTCTTCGAAGGGATAACCATTGGAGTTTACTAACTGTTGCTGAAAACCATAAATACAAAGTTGAGAAATCTAATAATAAATAAAACAATGATGGAATAGAAAACTGAACTTCTAGATTTGTAAGCGTCTCAATTTTAGTACATCTTTCTTAATCGAAATTTGAGATTTCGAAGTATAAAGACAACAAATTTGGAGTTAAAAAAACCGAGAAATTTAAGACATTTAAGAAGCGGATATTTAAAAAGCACAATAAAAAATATGCAAAATTATATCGGTTGCGTATTGGTTGATAAATCGCAAAAATTAGTGGTAAATTTTCTTAGTTCTAGTATGCTGGGAATGCGAAAAATATGAGACTCTCGCGGCTATAAGTGGAAACTGACTGGTTTTTCGGACTTTTCGACCCAAAACCCCGAAAAATTCGACGAGAAAGTCCAGAAACATTGTGCCTTGAAAGATGTTCTTTGCAACCGCAATCAATTGGCAACTTTACATCTATTGCAGCCTATCATAGTGACGGTGCAATTATAGAACGATTTTAATTTGCTAGTTAAAATCAAGCTTCAATTTCACTATTTAAAAGAGAAGTCAGTCACTAGCTTTCGACGCAATCAATAAGTCTTAATCAATTTAACACCATGTGCACTTTCTATAGATTATTGAGGATTTTCGCCCATTTAATTGCAATTATTGAATCTTGTGGGACCAACAAAATGCATAATGACCTAATAAAAAATTTCGCCTGGTCGTAGTTGTTACCACATTTTTCCGCTAAAAGCTCTTATGACACTGCAGTTAATAACTAAGCTTAAATGTTTCATTATTAGGCTATAAAAATAATGGGATGTTCCGTCAGCATAGTTAATGTTTAGCTTTGTATTTTTTTTTAATTTTATGGGTCGTTTAGTTAAATGCTGAATTAAATACATTTCAAACGAAATGCGTAAAAGCGAACTTAAATGCAACCATGGCCAAAAAAATTAAAAACAGGATCTACTCGCTGTAGTCAGGTAAAGTTCCAAATTGCATCCTAATAATAAACCAAAAGTAAAAGTGGCCTGAAGCATTGGCGATTTGCGATCTTAATATAAAAAGCAAACAATAACAAAGTTACTTTCAATAGGCATCATCTCGCTGGTGAAAATAAAAGAAAAAAGGCATGAAATTGTTCAGCACTTTCTTTCACTTTATTTCATATATGAATCATGTACCAAATAATACATCTCATTAACATTCCAAGCCCACATCCGCAGGTCAAGGTTTTGTTACCTAATTTCGTTTAGGATGCGAGTGAAATGGCTGATGGTCAAGGTAACATTAATTTATCAAATAATAAAACGAAAAACAATGGCACGAAATAAAATAAGTGAAACAAAGTGGAGCAGAACCACTCAAAAGCGAATTTTTGATCCAATCTTCCAAGTACATTGAAAGTATGTTGAGGCTAAACGTGATGAAATACAAAAATTTTGCAAAGTTCATTTTTACTAAGTGATTAATGCTTGATTCTAAATTCGAATAGTTTAATCGGATTTTTATGGCTTGAGCGGTGTGCTAATGCTGTTCTTGTAAACCAGCTTGGGGACTTTATAATTTATTCTCAATTTACTAATTGTTTTGAATTATATATTTTTAGTTGAATATTTTAGATGTCTAGTTCAAAAATCAGCGACCCAGATTTTAAAAACATGTATATAAAACCAACTAACATGTTTTTTAAATGAGTTAATAAATCAGTTTAACTGCTTTGGGTCATGAAGAAGATCAGTTACAGACACAGGCAGTTTAGGCATTTTTATTACTTTATTACAATTTGCAATCAAATTTGCAAAAATTATTTACGGCTTTAAAGCAGCCGAGGCACTGAGCCTCATTTTGAAGCAGAGTACTGGACTAAATTAGCTGAAAATTAAACTTTAATGGCAAATCCACGGGATTTTTGAGTTAGACACTGTGAATTTAGCTTCGAAATTGCAACCTATTTTTATAAAATTAATTACGAAAAAAGAAATTGTTTTGGCACATTTCTGAAGACAAAATATTCCTATAAGATATGGAAAAATTGCACCTTAAGGACACATCCATGCGACTGTAGAGAAATTTAATACTTTATGACCGAAACTCTACCAATTCGACTCGATAGAAAGTGCTATTATTTATGTAAAATTAATTGCGGAAAAACCGGAGGAGCTAAAAAACCTACTTTTTGCACCGATTTGCGAAAAAATCGCGAGTATGAAATACCATCAAGGCTATTTTAGAGCCAAATTCATGCAAATTTTGAGAACAATTCAAATCGGTGAACTGGATTTGATTAAAATTTAAACAAAAATTTTGCAAAATTAAGTACGGAAAAACTGGCAATGCTTTGGTGCTTATTTTGGCACAGTTTTAAAGATAAGATATTTGTCTAAAACATCTGAAAATTCCACATTAGTGGCATTGCATGGGAATTGTGAAAAATTTTCTGAAAAAAAAATCTGTGTGGTTTGGCTTCGATAGAAAATGCAGCTCCACTTTCAAAAACTTTTGAGCCAAATTGCTATTTAAAAACCGTTTTTAAGAAAACCCATTAAAAGGAGTTAAACCGCCGTTTGTATCAAGAAAATATTGACTTTTCAACAGAATATTTACCTACCATTTTTAACGATGTGGATTTTACTAAGCGCATTTGTTGAACAAATTTGCTTACATCCACACTCCTAAAAAACTTCTTCAACAAGCCATAAAAAGTTGCAAATATTCGCGTGAAAATACGACACATTTTAATTTTCTGTTTCAACTTTTGAGCGAGATATTACAAAAATAACGACATGAAATATTGGGACGCTGCGGTAATGATCACGTTTCCATGAATCCGATGGCAAGTGAATGAGAAGATGGCAAAATGAAAACAATTTGTAAATTAAGTGTTCACTAGTCACTAAAAGCCAAAGACACTTTATTCTTAATTTGTTTAAAAACGCGTTTTTTGGGGCACAAAAATCCATAACATCTCAAAAAAGGCACGAGAAGAGACGAATGTGTTGGTGTGTGCTTTGTTTTAGACTCGCAAAACTCAGGTCAATTGAACTATGATATAATATATCATTAAAACACGTTTTTCCTTGATATATCTTAAGATGAAAAAATGCTGCAAATCAGTTAATTTCCCCCCTTTTTGGCTTAAACAATGTGAACAAACACACCCTATTTAGAAGTTAGTGACTCAGCAAGCCCACAGTTATTATGAAGAGTATGTGCCATCCACACCCACCGATACTCGGAAGATGGTTCGATTATGTGCTATTAAAAACCGTTGTAGTTGAATAGATTTACGGATTTGCATATGGGCAGGTGACCTGGGTCGTGCAGGAAATATTTACGTTCATTTCCATGTGTATTTTCTAGTTGCTTTCAAATAAACAGATTTTTAGACATTAATCAAAGAAATGCCTCCGAGCCGCATAAAGGTGTTTCACCCTTACAACGTGTCGACTGGCAAAAATCTGCTACCGTTTTCCAGGGTAGACGGGGAAACTGATTTTTTACCACCGGCGTAGGTACATCTTTAGAAGCGATATTGTAAAATACCGCTTATAAATCAAAYAGTGCCTGTTTAGTAAGTGATACAGCAAGAAATCTTAATAGCAAAGCAAATGGGAACGTTTCAAGTAATTATTATGTTTTGCTCGTTTGCCGTAATTCAGACAGAAGAAACTTAACTAGAAAGCTACTTAGGTTTGAGAGCTTAAACAGTGAATCCTGGGCGTTTAAAAAGACACGAAAACTACTTACCGCAAGGGAAATTTGTGAACTTTTTGGGGTAACGGCAATGCCCCTGCCTATCCGAGGGCCCACGATGAATTCGGTAAAACTAAAGCCATGGCACGAACTGAGAACCACCGCAAGAACGCACGCGAATCTGGTCGATACACCGTTTAAATGCAGAACCATGTCGCGATTATAGAAAAAATCCAGGTAGCGGTTAGACGTTCCTTATATTCGGGTCATTATTTTAAATATGTATATGTGCGTGTGTGAGAACCTTACTGCTACATCTCGAAGAAAGATGGCCAGTTTTGGTACCAAATGGTTTCGGTTCTGCGGTGGTAGTGGATGCGACATCAACCTGATTAGCTCATAAGTGCTTTATTTTGAATTTTTCAACCGGAGCTTCTCGCGAGCTTTACTTTCGCCTTTTAATTAATCACGGCGCCGTCTTGCAGACGCTTTACTTTCTGGCTAACAGTTTTTTTGTTATATATTTTTTATTGTTCAAACTTGCATTTTAAATGAACCACCACATGATTTAATACTAATAAGATTTAATCGCAATGTGGTTCCCGAAGATTTTTATATTGCAGGAAATGCAATATAAAAATGGCAAGCGAGGATTGATTGCAGTTTTGGGTGTTAAAATACTTGTTTTTTATTTATGTAATATTTCCCTTTGGTTATCGAAATTTTTTTGAATAAAATCTGTTATTTGAATAACGTGTCTGAGTTGTGACGGGAGGAGTATAATTTGGCTTTAGCAGAATTATCAAGTAATTTTCAAAAATTAATTGCGGAAAAAGTAGCGGAGCGTTAGATCATATTTTGACACTGTTGGAAACAGAATCTCTTGGTCTAAAACGTGTGCAAATAGCACTTCAATCACAATCCCATGCGAGTTTTCAGACTTTTTCGAAATCTGTGACGCAAACTGGGTGCTGGGTAGTTTGACCGCGATGTAAAGTACATGTTTTTCCACAAATTAATTGCGGGAAAACTAGCCAATCTTTAGAGGTTTTTTTGGCCGCGCTTAACAACGATCATATTAGTCGAAACTGCCTGCAAATCCCACTTTGGTGGCGAGCCCATGTGAAATTTGGGAAATTTTCAAATCTGTGACGGAAATTTTAGAGTTCCTTTTTTTTATTTCTTTATTATTTCAATCTGTGATGCATTTTGACAATAAGTAATACTGTTATATGATATATGTAACATGATTAGAGATTATAGTCTTCTATAATCACAATTTTCTCATCACTTTACGCTCGGAAATTAATTTAATTAGCTAATTAAAATCGGTTGCTTATGTCTGTTGGGTAAATTTTTTTTAGTCGCCTTGTTAAGGACGGGTTCATCAGGTCAGCTGCAAGACGGTTAGGGTGGCAGGCGATACTGGTGGAATACCAAAATAGCGTTGCAACGGCAAAAATGCATCGAAGCAAGAAGGAGGCTTACAAGATACAAAAAAAA